AAACTCATTACGCCACTGCCACATCTTCCACACAACCACACCAAAAGTCCGATCCCACATATGCCCAATATCAGCCCCATGCAGCAAATTAAGCTCAAGCCAATGATCCAAGGGCAAATTGAAAAACTGGGAAGATACGGCCTCCAGAAGAAGACGGTTCCAAACGGTCTTAGCCAAAAGGCAGTCGCGAACTACATGCAAAGATGTCTCTTCCTCAAGTCCGCACAACACGCAGCCGTCCGAGCTTGACATGTGCCGGCGACACCGCTCGGAATTAGTAAGGAGGCGGTTTCTCGTAAGCAGCCATAGAAACGTACGTATTCGAGGTGGGCCCGGCCAAGCCCATATTGCTTTCCAAAGAGCCCGCACAGCCACCGAAGGTTCTTGTACAAGGGAGGAGTATGCAGATCTGGTAGAGAAGGAACCCGTAGAAGAATGGCACCAATAAAGCTTGTCGCCGCCACGGGACGCGTGAGGAGGCGGGACCGCCGTAATCTGGAGGAGAACGGCCGCCGGGAGAAGGTGCGAAAAAGCCGACCAGTTCCACTCACCCGAGGCCGTGGTGAAGAGGCAAACGGGCTGGTTCCATAAATTCCGAGGAATCGCCGCTGTAGCCACGGAGCTCAAAATAACGCCCGACGGGAGCCAGCAATCCAGCCAGAACTTCGTTGTTCGACCATCGCACACGGCCCATCGGATTCCCGCCAACACCCGCGGCCACACTTTTTTGACCGATTGCAGAACCGGAGAACCCGAGCCCCTGTAACCCGAGATGGTGTTAAAAGGTTGTTCGCCGTACTTTGCTTTCCAAATACGGACCCATAGAGTATTTGGATTCGTGAGAAACCTCCAACCAAGTTTCATCAAAAGAGCATCATTCATCATCCTTTGTCGCTTAAGTCCGAGTCCACCAGCATCTCGAGTTTGACATACCTCTTCCCACTTTACAAGGCTGATTTTACGTTTATCAGTGGAGCCGCCCCAAAGAAATCGCCGACAGCATTGTTCCAGATCCTCGCATATGGAATTGGGTAGCCGGATAGACTGCATTGTGTAGTATGGAAGCGTGCTTAGCACCGATTGGGTGAGAATTGCACGTCCCGCCAAGGATAGGGACGCCGCCTTCCACCCGGAGAGACGAGATTCGGCCCTCTCTAGAATACGAGCATAAGTTTGTCGCTTGGCCCGACCATGCAAGATTCGAACCCCCAAATAATGACCAAGGTCGTCCACTCTCGTATACCCCAACATAGTCGAGATCAAGTTAGAGTCAACAGGATGAACGTTCTTAGAGAAGAAAATCGTGGTCTTGGGCTCACTAACCCGCAGTCCCGAGTCATTACAGAAATTGGCTAAGACCTCCCGAACTGTGGCAGCCTGATCAACCGAAGCTTCAAGGAACAAGAGAAGGTCATCAGCGAACAGTAAGTACGGAACGTGCACGCCGCCCCTCCCGACAGTGATTGGACGCCACTCACCATGGTTGACAGCACGTTGAATGTTATGAGCTAGGCGTTCAATGCAAAGAACGAACAAGCGTTGTTCATTAAATAAAATGAGATGATTGAGGTGTTAAATGGAACGAGTCGTTTGTGCACTCAGACTCGTTAAAACTCGACTTTAACTACAATCATTTGATTAAATTATATATTTTTTAATATTTTTATCTGACATCAACTTTAATTATTATAATTTATTTCATATCTATTACAAAATTAAAAATAATTCAATCTTTCACTCAATTTTTTTTTTCACTCTTTTCATCATTCTAAATACCAAATTTTTAAAAGATAATCTATATATCCAATCCCAACTTATAATATGTCATAATTTTTATAATAACTGCAATTATATATCTGAAAGGTAAAGACTGAATAAGGATCAAAGCACTGACCTTATCTTTTATTATCCTGTCGTGAAAAGAAAACAGGCTGAGTCACAGGCATTGTTTGAACTCGTGTAATGAAATTGATTTGTAAGCATCTCTTGTTTTATCCATTATACCTACATTTCATATCACTAAAACTAGAAATCCCTCCCTATATATTAAGTCAAAACGTGTTGAGCTTATGTGACAGATTTTCACGCTTCGGATGCTAACATGGCGAAAATTAATGCTTCGTGATGTGTTTTTATATTATTTTTACTCTGGAGTTAAGTTTAATATTAGACGTAAATAACTTTACCCATATATTTATTAACTCAACACTAATGTTGTTACTGTTGTAGATAGGTATTAATACTAGTATCATATTACAAAAAA